GAGAGAGAGAGAGAGATAAAAGAGGGGAAGTGAGATATGCAACTAACACATTAGCTGCACACAAACTGTACAGAACAGAGAACAGGGGGGACTTTGCCTGTTACATAATGTGTAAGTAGAGGCATGCCACAGTGACCTGAAATACATTTTGTTCTTTTTATACCACAAACTACATATACATTTTTCTTGAGACTGCAGTGAGGTAGGCAGTTTTCCTATATGACATTGCGTTATCATTGCAAGGACACCTGAGTGTGTGCATCCCAGTATTAATAAAGGATCGTTTCCCCCTATCTCTCCTTCAGCAGAGCAGCCCAGCTGAAGGACCTGAATACATGCAGCACAAACTCTCTCTCTCTCCCTCTTTCTCACACACAACCAAAAGCACCATAACCAACACTGCAATTCCTCCCCCCTCTGCCTACAGGCGTCACCCCTGCATTGCTGGAACTGTAACTCCTCATTAATTCCACAGAGAGAGCGCATTAAAACTTGCTTTCCATTAAATGAGACTGTTTCATGGAACAAAAAAGGCTGTTAAAATGGTTACAAAATGCCCTGGTTGTGTTTCCGCATTTAGTTTAAAAACCTGATTTTAAACAAGTTTGACAATGTTCATGTTGTCAGCAGGTATATTATTCAAAGCATGAAACAGTTTGGGACGAAATGTACTATATATACAGTCAAATTCTGATACATGTTGTACCAATTTCCATTACCAATTCCTGCATATACCTCCTTATAAACCCTATATACTTCCTTACTCAGCAGTTAGATAAAGTATTTGTAATGCACATCAATATATTATATTAGAGCCCAAGTGAAATATTGGCCAGCCAATATTGGCCTTTCGCAGACATATCAGTATCGTATGTGTTATACATATGTGATATTTTACAGTATATAATGCAGAAATAAATGTTTGTGGTAATATATTGGTGTCATTGCAAAGTTTATCCAGCAGAGTGCGCTGCGATTTACAATACTGTGGCATGCAGTACAGAGAAAAAGAGAAGAAGCAGCTCTCAGTAATGTCAACTAGAATTGGTTGTTCAATTATTTAACATGTTAAAGAATATTAAACTTAAATATTCTTTAAAAAAAGGTATTTGTTTAAGAAAGCAGCCTTTGGAGTATTTTTGCATAGTCTATATTATATTCATATTTTGGCTGCATTTGAGCATGTAGCCAAGCTAAACCCATTTAAAACATGGCTTATCAGGGCATGAGGAAGTAATCCAGCCAAGGTAAGAACAGTATAGTAGTAGAATCATGTTATTTAACTCCTCTAAATCCATGAGAGTCTGAAATGTTAGCTGTTTAATGCTGTGGCTCCTGACCTATGAGCTCCTTGTTCCTGACATCCAGTGCCATGTTTCTCAGAGCAGTGGCAACCGAACACACCACCCTGTCGTTATCCATCCGCAGCAGCTCCACTAGGATGGGCAGCCCCTTCTCCTTACGCACTGCTGCACGAATGTATGCTGCAAACTGCACACACAGAAACACACACAAAAAGGCATTAAACCTTAAAAAAAAAAAAAAGGGTCTAGACGCCACACGGGAAATTGGATGGTCTTGAAATGCACATTTTAGCCTGTGTGATTCCAAGTGTAAAACTGACGTCAGCGTTGACTGACACAGAGGAGGTGAGCTGTTAAATCCTTTTTAACCAGCTGAATAGATGCTTTGTCTCCTAGGATATCACATTTGACTGTGTATACAAACAAAAGAGAATGTGTGTATTTGTTTGTGTGTACATAGATACACAAACATTGGTACTGTACCTTCCAGTTGCCCGCTGACAGGTTCTGGAGGGACCCAGCGGCGCCCTCCAGAGTGGCGGGGTTTGAGCTCTCAGCCAGCAGTGTCAAGTAAGGCTTAACCACCGAAGGGTGCCATAGCATCTCTGCCCCCTTGGGAGACTTGGAGAAGCCAGGGATGGGTCCCACACCGTCCCACTGAACAAACAACCACAGTGTTTAGTCAGACTAAATGCAGGTTCTGATGCATATTTTTCATTATTACCTTTGGTGACAGATTTTAATTAGATGTCCCTCCCTTCCTTAAACTGAATTTTAACATTTGAGAGGTATTGGGAGGGCAGTTCATGGGGAATGAAGCATGAGAAAACATACACATTACTATACACAATGTACCACAAACAGATTAGGGCTGCATGGTTTTCATGTTGAATAAATGTGCACAATGCAAACTTTTTGCTGATTTGAATACTACTCTAAGCCTCCATTTAAAAAGCCCCACACTCACTGTCTCTTCCTGCAAGCTCTTTTTTTTCTTCTTTTTCTTCCTGCCCCAACAGCTGGAATCCTCCTCTTTACTGGGCGACTCGCTGCTCAGTAAGCCGTCCAGCTCCTGCCCCGCTATCAGTCGGGATGGCGGCATCTCCATCTCCAGACGATATGACAGGTTCCTTAGAGTGCAAATACAGTTCTCCACAATCTGGCGGCAGGCAGAAGGAGACAGGGGTTTGAGTGGGTAGTTATACCAGCGGCTTTCTAAATCACCATGACAAAAGCTTCAATACAATAAACTGTGTGCAGCACGCTACAGTATCTACAGACAATGTGTGGCGCTATTTACGGCGTCACAAATCAATTCGTTATGGAACCCAAGGGTCTCCAGTTAGAAAGAATATCTGGACCAGAGCAAATAGATTTAATTTCACGCTGTTTGAGCGCTGTACAGGTTTTGCCCCACAGAATGTCAATTAGCATATATGTTTGACAAAATTAAGACGCAATCTTCACATTACAGAAGAGCCACTTGACTTTTCACGTCGTATATGGTGCACAAATGCATGTCTTGGAGATCTGATTTCATTTCCACTGCTAAAAATGTCAATATACTATAAACAAGATCAATGAGCTAGTCTATCAGATTCTGAATGTCTACTGTTGTGCATGTATGGGTTGTACTTTGGGCAACAAAGTAAATAAAATAGTTGCTGCTGGATGCTGTGAGGGAATTTTATATACAGGCAATAAAATGATTCAAACAGGGTTAAGTAGGATTCTTCCCCAGAGCCTCTTATCATGTGGTAGCATGTTTCCCTCTTGGCTAAGTATGTGTGTGGGGTGTGTGTGTGTGTGGGTGTGTGGGTATGTGTGTGTGTCTCAGAGCGTACCTTGCTGTCGAAGTCAGAGGTGTTTACACAGGCTTTGATGACATAGAGTAGTGAGTCAACTAGGCCCTCACAAGTGCGCATCTGTTTTCTGGCCTCCTCGCCAGCTGAACTCAGGTTCCTTTTAAAAAGCACATCACACACACACAACACACATACACAAACACACACAAACACACACACACAAATAAATTAGGCCTTTGATTTGGGGCTTTGCTCAACAAACAAATGAGCATACGCAAATAGACAAAAGGGTAGCTGTGTGTGTGTGTGTGTGTGTGTGTGTGTGTGTCCCACTTGAATTTGCAATGAGGGTTTTACCATCCCTGTACGCCATCCATAATGTATGAAGTGTGTGTGTGGTCTGACTGAAGTCATTATACCACTTTGCTGAATGAATAAGGAACTAACTAAGAGTGCATGCACACACAAACAACTATATCTATGCAAGTATGCGTGCAAAGAGATACAGACACACTCAACTGGCTGTCACCAGTTAGAGGCTAAACTCTTCCTGCAGCACAATGTCTTCAAAGGAAGAAGCCCCAGGAGAAAAGCTGGGAATATTACATCATTGACGGTAATAGTCTATGAAATGACGATGGCCTGGAAACAGAGACCAAACACAAAACAAAAAAATCCTAGCTTTTGATTCAATTATACACAATAACCAGAGATTATGAAAATTTTCTGTTTTGTTGTATATTAAAACCATTATTTATAAGACAAAACACACCATTCTCATACTTACAGCCATGGGAATGTGACTCTTCATTGGTCTCATTTTTTGTGTTGATGCTTGTGGTGAGTCACACTCCAGTATTACATTGTCCTCAAAGCAACATTAACATAAACACCGTATGAGCTGGTTCCAAACTAGATGTAATAGCACCAGTTGTCCACCGTGGGGTGCTAGTACCAAGTGTGTTCATCAGGTGGTTTACCTCAGACAGCCTGTCGTGTTCCTCAGCACCAGGGAGGAGTGGAACTTCAGCTTGTGGTCGTCGTCGAAGGTGGAGCTGCTCCATCCGGAGTGAGGGATGATCACAGTGTTGGTCAGAGTTGATAAGGCGTCCCGAATGATTGTCATCTTGACAGCGTCACATGACGACAGGTTCCACAGCACCCCTGAAGAGACACCCGCACGCAAACACAGGCAATGAGAAAACAGGCATGCAGACCTCCAGTTATATCAGCTGTCATGTGCAGTTAGGTTAACCCAAAAGAAACACCAACAACTTGGGCTTTTAATAGCGCAGTGTGTGGATGTGTGTCCACGGATAAACACACACAAACAACTGGAGACAGACTTTCTCACACACACACACACACACACAGAATCCAAGAGAAAATACTTCACAAATGAAACAACTGCTCTAGCATCAAGGCATCAGACGCTCCCATCAAATTTCATCTCGGCAGAATATCCTCGGGGTGAAGATTATTAGCTTGAAATGAAATGAGAAAGAAAGAGGACGGGGAGGAGATCCATATGGCATAGGCTCAGTCATTTGAAATTATGCCATCATTTTACTCAATTCAAATATACTTTTGGTAACCACCGATAATCATGCACAGTCCTGGCAGCCTTTGATGCTGCATCTGTCAAGGATTAGCCATCATGTAGCATATTCTCCTAATTAGTTGCCTCTTGCTGCTAGGCTTATACTACTTTTGCAGGGCACCAGCCACCTTGGAGGAGTCTATTTCTGCACAAGCTGGAATCTACTGTAAAGACACAAGGTTAAATACAAGGCTAATACTCAAAAATGCAGCCACAACAAAACTACAAAGTGCATGTAGAGCATGCATGTGTGTTAAGTGGTCCAAATGTGACTGCTTCATGACTTATGCATAATGTTTGTGTCCAATTGTGTAATTGGTTTCTCTCTAATCCTTCTAACATTGTTTTGTAAATACAAAACATAGTACATGACCTACAAACCAGGGCAAGCTATTACACTGACCTCTGTGTGTATCACTACCTTGCACACAAGGATACCTCATTGGGTCCTAACCTCACTGTTTATTTGCTCTCAGCACACCGTTCCCCCTCTCTAATTGAACCAATGGAGACAATAATAGTCTATAATATGGCCCAGGAGCCCAATTCAGATACACTGCTGGCAACAAGCTACATAGAAACATATGTGTCTGCCAAGCTGTGTCTCTTCCAGTCATTTCATCAACAGCCATTTTACTTACCATTATCCTTATTAACACTACATCAAAGTGCTTTAAAACCCATTCAAAATCTTAACTGAACTTTAATTATTTCATTTTTTTGGGGGGGGAAAATATCAAGACAAAGCTGAGAATTAAGTGATACTTGGCTCTCGAAGGTTAACATGCAGCATGTGCTTCTTATCAGAGCTTGCCAGCAGTGTATATTGGGCTGTATGCCGAAAGCCTAGCATCAGGTGGTCTGACGACTTTGCTCTGCTCAGGCTGTGGGATACATTTCAATCAAATCCTTCTGCGGTGATCGAGCTCTGCTCCTTACGCAATCACATTCGGGTCTGTGTTTGCCTTTCTCACGGGATACTCGGACACACAAGGATTGACCTGAAATCGGACCACTAATGTTGCGATAATAACATAAAATTCTCTCACGCCTGCTGACCAACTTCCCTGCTCGTTTTACCTCCACAATCTACTCCCTCGCTGGCAAATTCCTCCACACCCGCTTTAATGTCAATTTGTAGAACATTCTCTGCAGGATTTCAGACTGATCCTATGGAGACGGTGGCATGCTGGAGAAATCAACAGATGAATTCACTGAGGTGTAACTGACAACGCTGTCAGTGGCGCAACACCCGCGGCAATACCCATAAGTCAAATCTGACAGTCAGATGGAGCAGACCTGTATCTGTGTGTATGTGTGTGCGTGTAAATAGAGTCCTAAACTGTGCTCTCTGCTCAGTGGCCTTTTCTCAGGTGCCTTGGCCTGGCTTTGAAACACTGACCCAAAGTAAACCATGTTGTGACACCATGGCCAATAGTGTATCCAGGGCTAAGCTCCGAGAGAGACTCAGAGAGCACAAGCAGAGAGACAGAGGCTCAATACAGAGAATATATGAAGCTTGTTAGAATGTCTAACAGCAATTGAAGCACTGATCCAAGAACTAACTGAACTGAAAACTGGATCGACATTTGCCTGGCACTGTTGGCGCTATCTGCAACCATTCACCAGTTTTGGGTGTAGATCAATAACGTTTATTGCAAGTTATCCACGATTTTACACCTCCACTTTTTATTCTCTTTTGTCGCAAGCAACTGCCGGCTAACAATGGTAGCATAAACCAGGCCAAAACTTTACAGTAATGGTTGCAACCTTTTATTAGACAAACTCTCATTCATATTATGAGCGTATAAAGAGACAGCTTAAACAGATTCATAGTGGCATGAAAAAGGCACGCTGAATTACAAATAGAGTTCAGAGTGCCTTTGTTAGATGCTTCATAGTGAAGAGACAAACTGCACCACAAAGGGGAAAAGAGGTCTCTAACAGACAATGTGGGGTGACAATTTGCCGTGATAGTTCATTGAGGTCAGCTTTGGCAAACAAAACCAACAATTGCTCACAAACCTCTAACTGTTCCAAAACAGGTCTTCTATTCTTTTTTTTTGTATTTCTCTGTATGCAAATACAAATGTTTGGATGATATTTGTAGAAAATATGGTCAGTTTAACTCGTGTTGTAATAATTACACTGACTCCAATATCCCACTAAGTTTTGTGTGACTAATCAGTCCACAGTAGGTAGCTTTTTGTCAGTATGGCATATAGTGTACTGTACTGTCTTATTTACATGCTTCTGTATAACCTGTTAAGCTAGCAAGCTTCTAGTCACCAAAAAGCTCTCCATACTTCCAGTATTTGTGCTCACCAAGACTCAAAACAACCTGCAACCCTCTCTTTACTAAACACACAGAGATTAGGTTGATCTTTTGGTTGATTTCCAGAATGTCAGACTGCTCCGTTCACAAACTTCGCCTCTTAAACCACAGGTCAGCATGCCATTGACTTTGTAAGGTCGGTTACCGGGTGGGCATTTACTTCATTCTGTAAAAAGCTGCTGATCATTCAGAAACTGCCCAATATATATTAACCTTTCAATTTTTGGGAGTGGAACTGGAAACTTTTCAATGCTGCATCGACTAAACCTCAGACACGCAGCTTGGTGAGTACTTTCGAGGTTAGTGGGTGTTTCTAATTTTCTCCATCTTGCAGTGGAAGCCAGTGCACTGCTGCTCACGGCTATAACTGGATTTATTTTTGGATCAAATTTAGTTTCTCATTTTTCATTTGATCCAAAGGTCTTAACCTCCTCATTCTTTGCTCTCGAACAAAACAAACAATCAATGCAAAGCAATCCATGCAAACACTCGGCGACTGTGTGTATGTGTGCTGATGCCACAATGTTTGCGTTCACTGGAAACTTTTTCAAAGTTTGTGGCAAACAGTATTTACCAGAAACTTGTTTTTGACGTGTTGATTGGTTCAAACTGTTTCTAGTCTGATAAAGGATAAAAATAAAGATAGGACTGGAGCCAAATAAAAAACTCCATAACAGGATAGTGCAACAATATGTAATCTTCATTCCATGTTTTGTTTTGTATTGCACTGTTTTGTATGCAGGTCTGCAGGTTTAGAGTTGTAAAAACAAGTTTTAATCTTAAAGAGTTTGCCATTTTGTAAAGATGCAGCTGACTAATTGATTTTGATCAAGTTCTCAAACGTTATCAAATATAGCGCTGTGTGCAAATACCATGGTATCAATCATATATGTATATAAAATGTGTATATAGTGTACACATAACTCTTATTCTCTATTTCTATTATATCTCGTATTTTTAATCTATATCTATTTTATTTAAATGTAAAGTGTATTTTATTATCTATTGTGTTGTATCTTGAGCTGCTGTAACAAGCGAGTTTCCCCGGTGTGGGATCAATAAAGCCTATAAGGAAATGTCCCTAACAGAATGAGACATTCATGAGTTGTAATGCAATGAAAAGACCCAAAATAAATACAATTACAGAAACAAAGACAATATAAGCTAACGCATGACTGCAGTGGGTTGTTCTCATCAGTTAGTTCGGGATACTGAACCCCACATTGCTCCTGAAGGCTGTGCCATAGGTGTGTGAGTGTCTGTGAATTATCATGAGTCGCTTTCTGATGAGCAGTTGCATGGCAGCCTCTGCCATCAGTGTATGTATCAGTGTGTGTAAATGGACATGTAGTGTAAATTGCTTTGGGTGTTTGGAAGACTAGAAAGGCGCTATATGAATGCATGTCCATTTACCAAGAGGGCAACAGTACAGGAAAAAAATACAACAAAGAACTGGTTCAAGTACAATTTTCTATGCAAGAGGAGACGAGGGGTTTGTGAAGTTCATTGCTTAACCATACCAGATCCAGAGATTTGTCTTTTCTAGCAACAGATGGGAAGTACACAGCACATAATGTATTTTAAGTCTAAGGGCAACATACAGACTCTCAAAAGCTCAAATCATGATTAAGAATGTAGTTAAGTTTGCCAAAGTAAAGCCAAGATAAGGGGAGCAATAAAATTTCTCACACAGGCTAACGAAACATTGTGTATGTGTGATTTTCAGGTGTTCCTGGTATATGGAGCTAATGGCAGTGCTGTGAGGCTTGGCCTTTTGATCTGAAGGGCTGTTTGAGGACAGAACCATAACCACAACAGCTGCTAGAAGACAAGGCAGGTAAGGGAGCTGAGGTCGCGTTGTGCGTCCCCACAACATGACCTCTGACCAGGAGCAGGGGGTGGCCTGTTCTTGCATTTAGTTCTAATGAAGCACAGGTGACACCCTGGACCTCCCAGCGGAGTCGAGACGGAGCCACTAACACAATGGGAGCTCCCAAAAGGCTGCTCAAGCTAAGTTCACCTGACACCTGGCTTGCTTCCTCACCAACTTCGACAACACTGAGTTGTGTTATATTTAATTTATACATTAATTTATATATAACATTGCCCAACAGTGCTTTATAAGTAGAAAGGCTGCTGCTGGTGAGTGAATGATTCCTGTCTGCACCACTTAAAGCTCTGGTGTGGGAAGCCCTTGTCATGCAGCTGAAAGCTCTTTATGTGGATTGTTCTCATCAGCTGTAATTAACCAGAGGTGATGCAGCACCGCTGACCTTTTCCAATTGCTCCACATCCTGGGGCCTGCACCACCAATTAGCCACGGCAGGCTCTCAGACTAGTGGATGAAAGGGAAAAAACTTAAAACAGAGCTCACATTAAAGCAGCCTACTCTGATTGGGAAACACATGTCTGCGCAACCTTTTGAAATTTGAATGAAGGGAGCAGAGAAAAGAATTTAAGTGGCTCCTGTGCGCTTAATTGTGTTTTACCACACGCACAAGTACGAGCAGAGACAAACTGTACACTTTTTACAATGTTCTCCTTTGGTATGTGTTAGGCAAAGTAAACAGATACTCAATTTAAACAGGAATCTGAAGACTATCTCCTCCTAGACAATATACAAATGCTACAGAGTGTTATGTTTGTACTCCGGCTGTATTGTTTTCCTTCAGGGGACCACTGGAATGTAATCTGAGACCATGTTACAGCGGGGGCTGGAGCTGAGCTCAAACAGCTGACTCAGCAACCTGGGAGCCAAATGTCTTGGCTTGCTTATTTCTGTAGTGCTCCACCCTGATCCTAAACAACATGGATTTATACCCTGTTTGCAGAGCTTAGACAACACACAGCCCAATGCAGAGAGGAGGAGACTGACAAGCAGGCTGTCAGGGACAGTTGTTTTCAGACAGAGAAGGAGCTAAATCTCTCAGCAGCCGAGGTAATAAAAGAATATGAATTCTGTGGAAATGTAGTTTCATTTCTGTGCACATATCATAACTAGTACTGACAGGAGCAGTAGCAGCAGCAGCAACTTAAGGAAAAGCCTCTGTGACTCAGTTACTATGACTACCATAATCTTAGGATAGACCACGTTAAGCAGTTTATTTAAGTGTTTAGTCAGCATATCTTAATTCACTCTTAATCTCCACGAGCAACATCAAGTGGTTGACCATGACATGCAGCGCCGGATAAGCATGAGCTACGTTCAGAGACCACATCAAGAGTCACAAGCAACCAAACTAACATGGTACTCTATCTCTTCTGGTTTGTCAGGTAAATTATTCAGTATCTTCAACACAATGTTCCTGTCCTGCTGTAACCTCACAATAGATCTCTTAAGAGCATGAGATCCAGCTTTACTGTGCCGGATCACAGTAGAGCTAAAATGACAAGTCGGGTAACTGATTAGTTGACCAACATTAGACAACAATTTTGGTAAATATTTTTAAATTAACGTTTAAACTGCAATAACTAACATCTTTGGCCACTTGGCCAGGGCAGTTATGGAAGCAAGTTGTGAGCACAGCATTGACTAACTTGTTAGCAAACAGTTGCTTTTTTAAAACATCAAGCAGTTAAGGATAAACTTGGTCATTCATATAGAGTTCTGTTTGTATAAACCTGATGAATGCAAATCTAATAGTCACTCTCTTTTAGCTTTGCTTTGGTCTCTACCAACTCCTGAGGGAAATATCTGGCTCTTTAGCTCCTCAATGCTCCACTGTGTTCACCAGCTAATCTCTGACTGTGTCTGTCTTATATATACAGTCAATGGTCCGTCTGCTGTTTGGTGCTGAGCAGATAGTGTACAATAGGTTAATAGAGCTTTTTTCAGTGAAAACAGCTGACTGCTGCAGTCAAAAACAACTCTAGAGCAGTGAGAGTGAAGCTACTAAATGAGCTGCAGTTGTTTTCACATTGTCATTTTATTTGTTATTATAACAATATTGATTTTGGCTGCTTTTAGCTTTTATTTACAAGTAAAAAAAACACCCAATATTCTTTGGTTCCAGCTTCCTAAATTTGATGATGTGATGGTTTTCTATTCTAAAAAAGTGTGAATCAAATATCTTGGGGTTTTTGACTGCTGTTTGGAAAAAGAAAAAGCAATTTGAAGATATAAAATGGGGTGAAAGAATACTGAGGTAGAAACTATCAAGCTCAGGACTCTCAGTTTATAAAGTGCAGATAGATTCTCAAGACATGCTGATTTACCTGTGACAAGCTCCCGCACTTCTGCATCTACAGTTTTTCTCAGCAGGCGGAGCAGAGCTGGAATCCCTCCTGCGTTCTTCACAGCGATCTTGTTTTCATCCATAGATTTGCCATAAACTAGGTTCCTCACAGCTCCACAAGAGTTCCTCTGGACCTCAAGCACCTTGTGGTCTAGTAGGTCCACCAGATGCTTAATTCCGCCCAATCGACACACCTATGGACAATGTGAATGAGATCACACACACATCACCACATCAGGTGGGAAAAAAGATTCCGACCACTAACAGCATTTTTTCAGCTCATATACTGTATAATGGAGGGCGAAATCATGCATTTATTCATGTGAGAGAATCTACACACTGGAAATGTATTCATACAAGATACAAATTATTTGGAGAGGTAATGCTAATCTGTGGCCATAGAAAAAGCCTTAACCACAGGAGATGGTTGTTTTGACAGACTAAATTTACATTTTCATCTAGAGAGATGAATGAAGCTGAAAAATAAGCTTCCCGCTTTTTATTATATAGTATGAATCACTTATCGTCTTAGAATATCTGATGTCTTATTCCTCTTTCTGTGCCTTCCTGTCAGAAATCAACTTCTTTCGACGAAATGCATCACAGTTAAAGGACAAGCTTGACCTTTAATGTTTGAAAACTACTACTACTGTAGTACAAATTGCTAAGCCGTGAAAATCCAGAGAGCTCAAGGCTAACGCATCTTGATGACGCCCCAAGAGGAACATTTAAGGGGTCATCAAAGTTATTACAATTCCTCTTGAGGGGGGGCATGAATATCCATGCAACATTTCATGGAAATCCATCCAATAGTTGTCAACCTAATGCTGGCACTAGAGAAAAAGACAGAGGATCACCAAAGTCAGTAGGCTTCATCCTCTGGGGACCATGAGTGTCTGTACAAAGTGTTTATCTTAATCCTTCTTATAGTCTATAATAATAATTATAGTCAATTAAATCTTATGTTTTATTTTTGCAACTCCAGCCATCACCTCTATTGGATATGATGACACTGACTCACTAAAGTAATTCTTGATGTCTTGGAGCAGGGCAAAAAGCTATAAAACAGGCCCTATCATGCAACAAGGAAGAGTGAGATTAGCCAAAGATTTGGCAGATTAGTTACCACTTAGCTGGAAGTTAAACCCAAAAGTGAGCCAAGTTAAGTGCAAAAAACAAATAGTTGTAAAACACTGCAGCTTCCCTTTAAACAAGACGCAAGTGGCCCCAATGAACGCAAAAACATATGCATAATGTGAAATAATTATGCGAAGTTAAGGCGGTTGAGCACATATGTTGATAAGTAATTAAAATAAGACACAGGATGACTGGTACAATACCTACCTCCGTCTTAATTCGATTATCGCCATAGCACAGGTGCTGTAGGTAGGCGGCTGCGTTCGCTTGCACCGAGGGGAAGTGGTGTTGCAGCATGTGAATCACCTCTGTCAGCTCTGGGTCACGCCACGCAAACTCCCTAGATTACAGGTGGGGTGCAAAAGTATCAGCATGACGACAGATGCAGAAACAAAGTAAGTCTCCTTAAAAAAAATACATGCACAGTTTCCCCTAAAAAAAAACCCAACAACAAATACTTCAGCACCTCAGGGCAAACTGATAAGCCCAGGAAATTACATTCACATCCGGTTCTATATAACAATCCACTCTGGTCACACTTGGATTACTGCTTTTCTGTATGAGGTACACTAAGGAAAGAATTGAGAAAAGCATCGTCTCTAGACTGCTCTTGAAATAAACTTAGAAACTATTTTTACACTCTAAAATCGATTAAAAAAATCCTTTGTTGTATATCTATTGGCATGTTAACTTACTGAAAGTCTTCTATTTGATTAAGTCTTTGATAATTTGATAAATCTAGGTGGCAAAATTACATTACTAGTGTTTGAGTTGTGCCAGATATGTTATTTCCTCACTGCGTGTGAATTATGTGCAGCGAGACCCCAGGCTGGTCAAACTCCTTTTGTCTTGATTATATCACAGCACAAACAGCCAAAGCTGAAAAATACACTGGTGGATTTCCCTAGACAGAAATCCTGTCAAATATTCTCAGGGACATTTTTCTCTGATGCACTTCCTGAATGGACCTGGGTCATGGTGGTCCCACTGGTGCACTCACTTCAAGTAGTAACACTACAGCAACGTACACGGGTGTAAACAAAGCTCCAAATGTGCAAGGTCAGGGGTTTACCGCAGAGGTCGACCCACTCTCTACACTTACACATGTCTGTAGGACAAGGGCAGACGCAGCACTTCAGTGTATGTGAGAATCTACTATTAAGTGGCCGGGTATAGTAGAGCGAGCTTAAAGGCTAGAGCCGCATGTGACTGCCCAGGGGGCTCCTTGTTTGAATAGTAAGAGGACACCAGTGTTGACCCAGCAGAACAGGGATGCCTTGTAAGCATAAGTAGTCCCTTTGGATGACTGGTTCCTGCTACACTACACTGGTTACTAACCACTGATTACATCTAGTAGTTTAAAACACAGCATTACACTTACCTGGGATCCTTCTGAATGCTGTCAATGGAGGGTGAGCGAGTGGCGCCATCATCCATGACTACAGCCTGGCGACTGTAGTTGGGATCGGAGGGCCGGTACTGTGCCGAGCGATATGGATCAGCATAGGTGGCTGCTGTGGTGAGAGCGTAGTTGTTTCTTTGGTAGATCATGGCACTGCGCTGGCTGGGTGTCCGCTGGAGACTCCCCACACCTGAGGGCCAAAAAACCAAAACCTTCAGATAGACAGTTTAAACTAAAAAAAGAAAAAAAATACATTTAAGCTGACAAAGCCATGTTAGCGGAGATCAGCACCGTTTCAGACCTTTCCAGCTAAAATATGAGCCTTGCACACCGGTAGCATACAACTTTAAACCAAGCTGAAAATACAAACATGCGGCCGTTCTGACAGACTCAGCAAATTCTAAAATCTGGAACCAGTTAATGATGAGGAGAAAACACAGCTCCCATGGTTCCACAGAGCAGCAGTCTTCTTTCTTCAAGGGGCTGTTTGCTTGTTGTTTAGTTTTTACAAGGTTGTGTTTAACCAGAGGGATCCTGCTGGTTTCCAAAGAGGACAGGAAGCCTCAACCTGCTCCAAAGATCCACAAATCCTTTCCTCACCGCCTTCTCGGTCCTTTGCGCCATTGTATTCTGAGGCTAACTTTGCCAGACACAGCAGAGAGGCAATGGTAAACCATGACCAGGTCCAAAAACAGTCAGAGATACACTAGTAAAGCGGAAGCATCACAAACACAAACATGCAGAGAAGCCATCCTTCCAGACAAGGTCCAATATTCAGCCTGACAGCATATCGCTTCCGTCATTTTTTCCCTCTTTTCATTTGCTCCAAGTGATATTATGACCTAGTTTTTTAACACAATGGGTCACAAACACAGAACTGCAAAAACAAGCAGGGATTTAGCCCTCCTTCTCACCAGAGCCACGTGATGTGTGGCAGCGTGACTGCCGCACTGGTCAGATCCCTATCAGACATCCAACAGGACTGGGCATGTGCGTGCTCAAACTCCCTCCTCCCAGAAACCAAGACGTCAACTTGTGGTGCTGCTCCAAAAACACAATTTCTCACATGAGTGCACTTCTATGTTGGGCAGTAGCACCACCCTGCAATATGGTTATCTCCCAAAATGTAAGCCAACAGAGCCAAAGACACTGCAAGAGAAATTAAAAACAACATAGTGTAGCTTTGCAATTTTACCAGAACTCTTTCGATCCCATTCCTCATCTCTTCAGCCAAGGATCAATATTTCTACTTAACATAAAAATCTCCCACTTACATGCCAAAAGTACAGTGCAAGCTTCCAGGAGAAGCCAAACGAATGTGTGGAAAGCCGGTGGGGGGGAAAATGGCTCATTGAAACTTCATTTCAAAAACATAACAAAGAAGACGCTGGGATCAAATTGGATTTTTCTAATGAGGTAGCTCTTACAAAGACTCCATATTGAACACCCCCTCCCCTCCAGCTCCGCCCCTCTAGCCTTTTTCAATATAGCTGGCATAAACACATTATAGTGGCTTGTCTGGGGGCTCCTCCACAGCATCAATAGCATTTATTAGTGAACTTATCGGTCTAAGCAGATCTCCGGTGTGCCAAGGAGAAGGCTGAATGGAGTGTGTGTGTGTGTGTTGGTGCAGACTAAGCATGTGTATCTGAGGCAGGAGGGATGATGCGATGAGAATGCCAACATCAGGAGAGCTGGATGAGAGCAGGCTGTGGATGTGGGTAGCTGTCCCCTGGCCCCTCCATCCTTCTTCTCATTCTCAGTGTGACACACGGGTAATGGACTCCTTTGTGGCAGGATGACATATCAGTACCTGCCTATTAACTCATGTCTCACCCTTTCTGCCTGACAGTGGAGGGGGGAATGTAAGGGAGTGGGTGACAGAGAGAAAGAAAAATAGAAAGCAAGAAAGAAAGACATAACATACATAGCACTAAAGGGCAGATGGACAGAGCAATGGTGTTCTCTCCGTGAGTCAAGGGGCCCCAGATTAATTGAAGACGTTGAGAGTTTTGAGGATACAGGGAACATTTGTAATAGATAAGAAAAACAAAGCACTCTGTGTCTGCGTGAAAGGAAAATATTAAGAGGGAGGAAGGAAATAGTGCTTATCTTGACCTGCATGACTCCACTGCGTGACGACACAGAGACAGCACGAGAAAAAGAGGACAGAAAATTAAGGAATATAGGAAAACAGAATGAAATTTCTGTTAAGTTTGAAATCATTTGAAGTCTGATTGGTTACAAATTTGCCCAAAACAAAAACACTGAGACGTCTGTCAGCTATTTTTTGCACTGCGGACCATTTTTATATTGACATTGTTGTGGAGTGGCCTGCAGGCCCGGAAGGACGTAATACTATATGATAAACTCTCTCAAATTCCCCTCAAATTTTAGATATCAAGGCAACAGTAGATGGAACAAAGTACATGCCGATCAAGTAGCTGATGCCAGACTGCAGATCAAAATCCGTTTAAAAGGTAATGACCGCACAATAGCCTGTAAAGTTGTAGAATAATTATTGTTTTTTCTAAATGTTTGTGTTATTGTGTTTTTTGGCCAACTGATATTGTTTTCTTGTGGCCTGGTAGCAAATGGGAATTGCAGTGCTTTAATGATCACTTCTGTTGCTGTTGTGTTGTTACAATCCAGCAGGCAAAATCACACGAATAAAGCAAGACAAAAATGTCTCATTAGTGTTGTGAGGACATTGGATATTTTGAAACAAAACATCCTAAAATATAGTATACCGACAATTACTTTTGAAGACCATGTCTCTGCAGCAGACTTTGCATTTGATGTCATTACAAGGTGACAGCCGATAGATGAGAGGTGTATACGTAATCCCATATGTATACACACGTCTTGGATGGTGTTATACACGTCTTGGATCATAATGGTTTTCTATCCTTTTGTGGGCGGTTTGTCATCATCCTTGCATGCGTTTCACCGTAAAATATAAAATGTGGGACCAACCTGAGGTGCTCCTGTAGAGGGTGCCCTGCTGGGTGTGGCTTGGACTGCGGTACAATGGGCCCTGGAACGTCCGATCCTCGTAGATTGGTGCAATGTGGCGGTCTGGGGATATGGTTGACCTTAAGTCCTGGCCCAGCTGGCTGTGCTGACTGGCATATGAGCTCCGTACTCCTGAAGATGTAGGAATGTGGTTAGTGGATACATTTGTTAGCAGCAGAGTGGTCTGGTGATTAACCAGAGAGTCTCATAACTGAAGAGTCAAAGGTTAGAGCCCTGTAAGAGCAAGAAATCTGTCAATCAACTCCCATGTGTTTTGTCAACGTGGCATTGAGAGGGACTTTGAATGACTTTCAGCTTATTTACTGGAATTCTTTCTGGATAACAGCTAAAGATAAATGTCTAAACATATCAGAGCGTGGAAATAAGGAGGAGCAGAAGAGAAACAGAAAGAAGATGGGATGTCTTTCTGCTTGATATTACATCTTTTTTTTCCTAATATGAGCTTATACTCATATTATGCATGCTTATATTAGACTTTCAAATACTTTCCCCACACTTTCTAGGCCATTGGTGGTTCTGTTACGTATTAAAGGAGGTTAAGAGACTTGACACTTGCTTGAGTTAGCTAATCAATCATATTACACAACATGTCTCCTTTAATTGTTGTCAAAGTTAATGTAATTGTTGCATGGTGATTCAGTGTATCTGCAAAGTCTGCTCTGCATTACTATACAAATATAATGCAAATTTGACAAAAATAAAATATGTGATGTTCAATGTGACCTCTCTCAAGCAAGTTTCAGATTTCTATGTTAATTTTCATGGACGGAAAATTAATGGATACCAGTATGCTTCAAGGAAGGTAGGAAATATAACTAAATGATTTTCATAAATGAAAAATCTGCAACAAAATGTTTTCATCCAAACTAAAGGCTTTACAAATATGTTAAGTGTTCATTTCCAGATGTTCTATAAAGCTACAAAACCTTGACACACAAAGCCAAACTTCAAAGAACTTGCATTGAGGCGGACTACAAAGACGGTCGGCTGCATTGCCTTAAGTCTTGCACTTTGAAACAACTCACTCACTTATTTTGCACTGGCGTTGTCAACCTGTGGTCTTTTTTGCTTATGGTGGAAGCAAATAATAAATACTGCACTAAATGGGTGAAAATCCGCCAACTAGAGCCAACGGTGCTGAACCAAGGAGAATGTGAACCAATCAGAGCATGGCCACAGCAGATGTTGGGTAATGTGTGATATGGGAAACAGCTTCTGTAATCAGCAACAAGCTAACCTGACACAGGGGGTGAGGAAGAGGAAACACACAGGTGAGTGCTCCAATTAAAACTCCTTTCCAGAAAAATCACTATAACAACAGGTTATATGTCCCGTCCGGTTCAGATGCATCTCTGCAGCACTGCAGTACTTTAGTATAATGTGGTGCTGTCACATAAGTTGCAGTTTCTTTGGATATTGCACTCAACCATATTACGATTTAAATAATATTTCGATTAATTATGCAGCCCTAATACAAATTTAGTTTCTGTCTAGTAGAGTTATAGTGAATATATTTTTAGGATAAAGAAAAAGAAATTTGCAGACACATTTTTAGATAGCAGATAATTGTACAAACATGTAGGAAAAGTACAGGATATAGCACTTGAAAGTGTTATTTCCACTATTTTTGAGGAAGAAAGTCTACATTACACTGTAATCACAACATATTTATTATAGATGCTGATACTTAGTTATCATTACTGCACATGCAGAGCTATATTGTAGCCCACCACTGTGAGACCCAGGGTTTGATTCCCAACTGTGGATGAAGCTGTGTTTGAGGGTGGAAAGGTGGATGAGGGTCCTTGTCGCTGCCAACAAGAATTACTACCAGAAGATCGAGGTGCTAAAATCATCACGTGGTGGGAACAGGAGGACAATGAACCTCCTCCATAAACCCTTACAATAAAGCAAACTGCTAACAGGTTAGAAGAGCGTGTTGGTCTACACCCTTCCCAGACCAACAGTAGGGTTAGCAGGCAGTAATTAGAAAAATAAAGCATAGTAGAAAATCGAATTTATGTTTCTGTGTCTGTGTTAAACCTCACATCAGTGACGCTCACTAAACTGTGAAGCCCAGTGGACCAGTGTACAGTTGGCAACTAACTGCTCATTGCACATTTCAGGAGCCTCCAAACGTCACTTGGGTCCTCTCCAACTGCGTGAGCTCAAGCGCAGACTGCTGCTTAACACCAACTCTGCCATGCAGAACCAGCTAAATGAGGGATTCTTGTCACAGTCTGAGATGGAGGAAAATTAATAAATAAGAATGTTTGCGTCCTCTGGGAGCAGAGGGCCTCTGGGGGCAAGGCAAGGGAAGATTTTAGATGTAGATAGTGGGCCAGACTGTCGCTGACCTCCGAAGCACCAAGTGTTCAGCATTTAAGAGGCTGAGCTTTCAGGGGGGGCATCAAGCAGCTGGCCAAAAGACCCTGCTAACCTCTAGCTGCATAACAAATGCATAACAGAAGGAATTAACAAGATTGATGGTTCATGTTTATTGAAAAGTTGCAGTTCAGATGGTGTACGAGCTAAGTTAATAGAAATTGATGGACTATATATTTTTTTAAACATTAATTAAGGGAGGGAAAACCACAACTTACAGTATATTGGTACTGTAAATTCGGATTGGCCACCAGGTAGTGGTGAAGTGGTAATCAAGAGAAATCCTAATGGGCCTCTACTGCTCAGGCCTGACAGGGTTTAACAAAGCTGCGGACTGAGCTCGTACAGCTTTCTCCTCATGAACCTGGTCAGGTTTGTTAGTACTCCACCCAACGTACCCAAGGGCTCTATAAGAACATATTTCATGCAAGTGATCAGTTCAAGTGCAAGCAAGTTGATGCTTACAAGCCTTGAAAAAACACTACATAACTTCTGTCAAGGTTATGTTAAACTTCAGATATTTCTCCCATTTTAATTTTATAACTGACTGTACGTTTAGCCAGCAGACATTGAGTTGAGTCTCTGAGTTTTATTTAAAATCTCGCCTTCTTTGCCTATGCAACCCCACCCCCCTCCTTTTGACCACCGTACATAATTTGTTTCTCCATTGTTTGAGAATTGCTTGGAGGAAAAACCAGCCATTTCAATTAGCCAGTCAATTAGAAATGATTTTTCAGCACTGTTTAATAAAAGCAACGAGGCACTTAGTGCAATGCTTTTAGAGCAGCTTAGAGGGTTTTAGGCACTCCAGGGCAAATCTCTCTTCGCTTTTAGTGTGCTCTCTCGTGGCTTTTTGCTAAATGAACCACTGCAGCTGCAATATACACTGTAGGTTCACAATATCTGACTTATCAATAAATTCTATTAAATACCCAAATAGATTTGAGGCACAAAAGAAAAAAACGTACATACTACAAGGAGTTTTTAACTGCCGCTGCATTTAATACTGATGCCTCTATATGACACAATATAAGAAGAACAGACCATCAGCCATCAAAATTGGTTATTTCTATATAGTAATTCATAATGCCTGCTTCTGGGTCAGATTCGGTCGGATTCCCCTTGAAATCAGTTAAACAAGGCGGCGGAAACACTACCACTTTTGTCGACTTTTGGGGCCGCCCGCCAGAATCGAGAAAGAAAAAAAAAAAAGAGTAAGTGCTTTGTTGCTGCTTTAAGTATGAAAAACATATAAACAAGTACTCTAAACCATCTAAAATGGCAAGCGTGCTGTAGTGCAGGATTGGGAGTACAACAGAGTAAATCTGAATAATGCTGCTGCTGCTGTGTGCTGTGCGCTGTAGTGGCACACTCAAAAGCCCAGGAAGCCTTTCACTCTGTGGCGGTGCACACAATAGCCACTAGCCAGCAACTTGGCAGGAAATCAGTTCAGCTTCTCTTGTTCAAAGGTTTAAAGGGAGCGAGGGGTACGAAGAAAGAGGAGGTAGTGGGAAGACAGAAGGGAAAGGCGGGAGCAACAGAGAAGAAAGCAGGAAAGAATATTACAGGGGGGAGGGAAAGAAAGGATGAAAATGAAAAGAGGGTTAATGAGGCCGCCTAGGACCACCAGAGACTTCTCATCCCATGTAAAGCCCGGACACATGAATCGGGCTTTTGGCACAGCTGTGACCGAGTGAGAGAGACAGAATCTCCCAGACACAGGAACCTTCATGCATATCTCTCCCTCTCAGCAGCCTGACTCCTGAAAGTAGCAACATTCAAACAACCTTAGAGGAGACTAATCCGTCTGCCTTCTGTACTCTGCTCCCCTGATAGAAGGGCTGCAGTCACTTCTAAAAGCATCTGCAAATTGTCAGGGAGAAATAACATACTGCTGTCTATTGAGGATGAATGGCCCACATTCCTGGTGCGTTATAGTCATTTAATTCTCCCCCTCAGCCCTCTCACCGTGGCTTTAACAGATTACACTTGGCAGAGGCTAGATGAAGGGCGGTGGCGGCTTGGCGCGTGCTTGCTCTGGAGAAACAAACACTTAAATGGATGCAGCTGACTGCATTCCTCAACAAAAATCATTTTCAAGAACCCTCACCAAACAAGCAGGAGTACTGGCATGATGACTAGAAAACCGTTACAAATAAAAATTGAGAATAGCTGTACAAATAGAGTGTGCCATGGTTAAAGCTACGGTGGCTTGGTTGTCAGTTTTGAGAATGCACACATGCAGATACGCCATTTTGCCTTGCTCTCTTTCTTTGTCCCACTCTGCTCTGAAATGGTCATCGGGCCTAATGAGCACATTATTAGGGACAATTTGTCTTCATTTTCCATTTTTCAGCAGCAGAGCAAAGGTATGCCTTCCTGCCAATGACAGGGCAGGGAGGTGAGCCAGTTGGGGGGGGGAATGATGGAAGGGAAAAAGAGGAGAGCACAAGACAGGTGAAGACAGAAAATACACATAAAGGGGTCAGACGTCTGTTGAAAAGAAAAGAGGGAACCACAAAAAACAGCATGTTTGCAAAAGAGAGGTGAGGAAAGGAGGCAAAACAACATCTTCTGATAGATACAGACAGAAAACCACCAACAGCAACAATACCAAGGTTAGGCTGTCAGATGGCGTTTGCCAAATTCCTTGCAACGGCGCCTGATCATGTGATCATCCCATTTCCTTCCACTATGGCTCATCAAACACAAAATTACTGTGTTAG